GTATTTACTTGATTTATTTGCCTGAGAATTTAAACTTTCAACTATTGTTTCACAAGTTGTGACCGTTTTCGCTCTGTTTGTTTTCGGGAAACCCACTATCGTTAATTTTGAAATTTCGAAAATATAGTGCTTTTTCTTTCACATTAACTGAATAATGAAGTTGCAATTTCAAATCAAGTTAACTATAGTACAACAATTTGAAATGAAAAGTTATCATACAATGCGGACGTAGATAGTCCCCCCTTTAATTTTTTCTCAGGGAGGGTGCTAACACTGTTTTTGTTGATAGAAAGGAGGGGTCTGATAACTCGTTTGATAGGTATTTCAATTCTCTTCTCTGCTTTTTTCATTTTTGAAAATCCTGGTCCTGATAAATTAGCAGTTTTATATTAGTTTCAATAAATCACAAACATGATAAATATTTGGGAAAGGTTTTGGTTTGGTTAGTTTCCGGGTTTTACCGTGGTCTTCTTTGTTTACAATTTCCAAACGTTTCACCTGCAACTGCAGCAGTCATTTTCAGTGGCGTGGTCAAAGTCCTCTTCATGTCGTATCAACTCAAACTGTTTCGAACACGCCACTGAAGATGACTGCCACAGTTCCAGTTGAAACGTTTGGAAATTGTAAACAAAGAAGACCACGGTAAAACCCGGAAACCAAACAAAACGCCAGCTGTGAAAGCCTATATTATTAAAGAAAGGTTTTGGCTTTGTACTTCTCCATCTTTCTACAAAAAAATGTGGAAATATTCCAAACAAGGAAAAAAAGCAAATAATTGGAAAGTAAACTCTATACAAAGATGTGTTGTTCATGCAAAGAAGTAACTTTCGAACACAAACTGAAAGAAAAAGCCCCCTCGAAACTACCACTTTCATGTAAACAAAAACTAATTTTTCCCATTCAGTTTGAACTCTAAACATTCGTTATGGAATTGAATCAGATTTCATTTACAGGATTGAATTAGAAGATCTCGCTAATGTTAGGATGGATACGACCAAGCAGCATGTTGATGCGAGTGACTCAA